GTACCTTGGTGCACCCACAATCGCTCGCGCGGCTGCATTCTGGACTAATTGGAGTCTAATAAATTCTGGACTAATTGGAGTCTAATAATAAAGCAGTCTTTAAAAAAATAAGTCTAATAATTTGAACATTCTATAGGCATTTATAGTTGTTGATTTACCTCCTTGTAGCAAACAGCCTGATTAGCACAAGGAAAAAAAAAACTGCCTTCCAGCAATTTGCCACGTAGAGCAAACAGCAAGTTTCACTCTCAATTTCTCCCTCCCAAGTTCCTGTTTGGTGCAAAGAGGTAAATTGCTGGGAGGCAGAGGCCAAAGGGTTGGGGCCAGTCGGTGGGTGGGGCTACATTCAGACACACACAAATTTCCACCCTCTTTTGGGGGAGAAAGGTGCATCTTATATTCCGAAAAGTCCTTTGGTTGTAACAACCATTATTCCAAAGAGAGAGAGAGAGAGAGAAATACCTATATAGCAATAGAAATGTATACTGTCCTTGTGCTTTAACCTACCATTTAGCAAAGGCAAAGTCTGCTATTATTAGAATCCACTATTTTGGATTGTAGCTTTTCTGTTCTTTGATTCATTTTTTTTTTTCATTTATCCTTTGACTCATTTCTTTTGTCTCTTCTCCTTCTGAGAATACATGCAAACTGGAGATTTTGTGGCTATATTATATTACCCACTTTGAGGACTTTTCTGTTTCTTCCTAAATACCCAGAAAAGCAAAACAAAATTCTACTCTGATAAATTTTTTTGAAAAACTTAAAAAGTTCTCAATATTTATGTGCATTCTGAAGTTCTTATTAAAAGTAATCATTACTCTGAGCTTTGTATGCTTCCCTTTCTTTTAATCTGTTAAAGTTATATTTGATTTATATAACTGTAAATAAATAACTCTCGGCTGAGCCTAACCTCACAGAAGCTGTAAATGTATGATGCAAAAGATCCATTATGCTGTTCCATAGAAAGGAGTAGAAATAGTTACAGGCACTGACAGTTTGATGAGCATGAACTTCATCTTAGTTTGACCGTACAGAATCAGTAGATGGCCTTAAATCAGTTTGACCAATTCATGTCACACAGGTTCTCCTCTCTTCTCCTCACCCCTTTGCCATTCTATTTAAATCAGTGTTTCTCAACCTTGGCGACTTTAAGTCCTGTGGACCTCAACTCCCAGAATCTCCCAGCCAGCTGTGCAGGACTTAAAGTCGCCAAGGTTGAGAAACACTGATTTACATTGATCTCTCCTTTAGAAACAGTGAAATCAGAGAGCAGAACAACTTGCTCAGAAACCTTTTAGCTTCTGTAATAAATAAAAGCCTAGCCTGTCAATTCCCTTTCTACTAAATAAATATATTAATTGTCTGAAAAGAAGAATGACCCATTCAAACAAACATAATTAGGTAATTATGTAATTAGCCTGTTTTCTAAAATGCATATTATGTACTAAGTACACCAGACTTGTGCCTTGACTGACACTTCAGTCGGTCCTTCAATTATTCCATTGTTACAATGTTCTCTAGGAAATAAACTTTCTTGCGGCCCTGTTCCCAGGAAATCTAAAATGTCACTGCTAGATCCAAAGGGGATGGTAACGAGGGTGCCATTTTGGCCAAATGATTTTAATGCCACCAATGTCTGTCATCTTGACACCCCTGGTCAAGATGGTCGCTGATTTAGGAATTATAGCCTAGCATATGTAAAGAACATTCATTTGACAAAGGTTTCCACAAGTATTGTTATCTGCCACTTTGAGATGGAAAAAGAAAACCCTCCAAAGGCTTAAAGTAATGCATTAAAAAAAGGGGGAAGTCTCCATTTCCAACCAAAATGCAAAACTACAATAACATTTTTAAAACAGAACATTCTTGGTTACCGAGCTTTGCTTCATCATATCCTACAGCCTTTCAACTCTCCTGAAACATTAAAACTATTGAAGATGAATACTGCCATTGAATAAACATACATACATACATACATACATACATACATACATACATACATACATANGGGTCCACTGGTGGAACCTCTTCTAACCGGTTTGGTAGATTTGACGAACCGGTTCTATCGAATAGGTGCGAACTGGTAGGAACCCACCTCTGTACTATATACATAATAGAATAACAGAGTTGGAAGGGACATTAGAGGTCTTCTAGCCCAATCCCTGCTTAAGCAGGAAACTGTATACCTTTTCAAACAAATGGTTGTCCAATCTCTTCTTTAAAACCTCCAGCGTTGAAGCACCCACAACTATTGGAAGTTGTTCCACTGATTGTTCTGTCAAGAAATTTCTCCTTGGTTCTAGATAGTTTCTCTCCTTGATTAGTTTCCATTCATTGCTTCTTGCCCTGTCTTCAGGTGCTTTGGAGTATAGCTTGGCCCATGATGTTATATGGCTGGGAGATAATTTCCATTTCCTGCTCTAAGCTTTTATATATTCATAAAGTATTACATATGTTTATCTGGGCTACTTTGCTTTAACTTTTTGACAAGATCACCTTGCCTGTGGTATATTGCAAGCCACTTTTGAACTGATTTCCTGCAGTGGTTGGATTGCATGTTGGTTTGTGTATGTGTGGGTGGGTTCTGCTGGCTATAACAAATCCAAGATGCTCAATTGCACATTCAGATTTGACATACTTCTACCTCTGTCTGGATATTATTAGTTATGTTATCTTGCCAAAAGGGAAACTTGGTACATCTTGAATTTAGATTTGTACATTTGTCACATCTAGAAGCTCACAGAATAGCTGGATTTCCATACTAAGTATCTCAGACTAGACTACATGTGTTTTTATTCTTCTTCTTTTTTTAAAAAAAAATACAAAATATAGTTATTTCAGAGACATTTCTGGATAATACTTGGTGTAGTGACATAACTTTCTGACCTCACTATAGATTTGTTAGGAATGTCCAAGCTTGCAATTTGCAGTAAGAGGATACCATATTTTTCAGAATATAAGATGCTCCAAAGTATAAGACACACCTAGATTTTGGGGAGGAAAACAAGGGAAAAATACCTGCTTCTGCCTCCCAGCAATTTTCCTCCTTGCAACAAACAGTACAGACAATATACATTGTTTGTAGTGTTATATTTCAGACNGCGCCAATTTACTCAGACTCAGCTTTGCTTTGCTAATCATCGTTTGTAATTAGTAAAAGTACACTTAATTCTAAGAATGGAGTTGAGTGGTTTCTTTCCTGATTATTAAATGAAGCAGCACCTGACTTTAAGCTGAGTCTGAGTAAATTGGCGCGAAAGCAATGGATATCATGTACAATTCAATCCCCTCCCCTTGGCACCCCATTTCATAGTCCAATAATAATTCACCCAACCGCCAGGTGGGAGATATCTTCAAAAAGCATCATCAGGCTGGGCAGTTGGCCTTGGCGAGAAACTCCCTTCTGCCACATGCGCAGAGAGATGGTCAGGACATCTTCTAATAACAATCCTCCAGCACATAATAATTCCCCTCCCAAATACCATGCCCCTCCTCCCCGTTTCAATGGCAGCCGAAGCAGCAGTGAAGCAGAGACTGACAGTTAGGATTTTAATATGCCAGAATATGAAAATGAATGCATCAAAGAATTAAGTCTTCTGTCTCAGGTTTTGTAGAACTATTCGGCTGTTTAAGAAGCAATTTATACTACTACCCTTGATTTTTTTTTCCTCATTGAACTTTTTTTGGATTTAACCTTAAGTGTGTAATTAGTAACTGACCTGGTTGGGCTTTGCATTCTCACAGACAATAACATCATAGTCCCTGGCAAGCTCCGGAGGGTTGTCATTAACATCGAGGATTTTAATTTCAACAGGGACATGGCTCAAGAGCCCAGGGCTGTCTGTAAAAAAACAGAAAAGAAAATCCACAGAGTTTAAAAACATATACATGTCCAAATAAAGTGAATGAGCAATTTTAGAATCCACTCTTGACTGCAAAAAACGTGTCTGTCCCTGGTGCTCTCCATGGTCCTGAAAGAAGCTGAAAAAGTAATTCACAACCACTCGTTAAGAAATCTAGGTATTTCCTCTCAAGAAGATGATTTTGGAAGAATCCAATGCAATAGCAATCTGATACAGGTAAAGCTTGCTAAGTTTCCAAAAATGGAACTCATGTCATTAAACAACAGGTTTGTAAAATGTGGGATGTGACTTGCTATAGAAAAAAGAAAGACACCTGTTGCTTATTCTTATGTTATCAAGAAAGCAATAATCAGCTAATTTTATTAGAGTTTATAATTTAATATACAATAAATAATTAGGAGCTCTGGTCTGTTAAAGCATGGGGAAAGTCAATTAAAATATTAAGAAGTTAAAGATCTTCTTCAGATGATATGCTTTTCCTGTTGCTTTTGTTTTGGGGAGATTATTTTAAACTCAGTAGTAACTCATTAAAAAAATTAAACCACTCCGGTATTGCTTTTGTTTTTAAAAAGAATATAAAATTAAAATGAGTAGGCAAATGAATCACAAATAAGTATGAAAGGAAGTGTTATTCCCCTACTGAAAAAAGAGAAAAGCTCCATCTATACCTGACCCCCTCCTCCATCCAGTAACGAATGCCNCACTGTGGACCAGTATATAGGTCTAAGTATGACCTTATTTAAGCTACTTGTTTATGATTCTATTGTAGGTCAATAGAATCATAAACATGGAAGGGATTGCAGAATCAAAGTTGGAAGGGATCTCAGAGGACATCTGGTCTAGTTATCTGCTCAGGGAAGGTTCTCAAAATATTTTGAGCAGAAAATTATCCAATCTCTATTTGAAAACTGCCAGTGAAGGGAAACATGCACTTCGTAAGGCAACTTGATGGCTGCATGATTGATAGGATTTGAAACTGCTCCCAATAGGTTGTATAAATCTTATTAATACTTTTTTTGACTTGCTTGAAATTGCAATGTCATTTCAATCTTCTCTTAAAATGTGGACTAATCATCATTACTATTCACTCTTTTTAAATAAATTGTGTCCCATGAAATTAAGATTTGGTTCATGAATAATTGGGGCATTTATTCAAACCGCATTTGTGTCTTTTAAGTTAGGTTTGAATCCTGGTAAACATTAACTCAAAAACATTAGCTGTAGGAGGATTTTTTGAATCCTTTTTGATCAGAAACATGTGCCAGCTGTATGCAGCATCAGCCAAAAAAGCTAATACAATCCTTGGTTGTATAAACATAGGCATAGAATCAAAATCACATGAAGCACTAGAACCACTTTATAAATCCTTAGTAAGACCACACCTGGAATAATGCATCCAGTTTTGGTCACCACATTACAAAAAAAAGATGTTGAGACTTTGGAAAAAGTGCAAAGGAGAGCAACTAAGATGCTTAAGGGCTTGGAGGCAAAGACATATGAAAAACAATTGCGGGAATTGGGTATCACTAAGCTAGCAAAAAGAAGGACTAGGGGTGACATGATAGCAGCATTCCAGTGTTTGAGGGGCTGCCACAAAGAAGAGGTCATCAACTTATTTTCCAAAGTATCAGAAGGCAAGGCAAGAAACAATGGATGGAAACTAATCAAGGAGAGAAGCAATCTGGAATTAAGAAGTAACTTCTTAACAGGGAGAACGATTAAGCTGTGGAACAGCTTGGCTTCAGAAGTTGTAGGTGCTACATAAATCGTAGGCTTCTAAGAAAAGACTGGAACGCCACTTGTGTGAAATGGTGTAGGGTCATCTGCTTGTGTGTGTGTGTGTGTGTGTGTGTGTGTGGGTGTGGGTGTGTGTGTGGGTGTGTACTAGTTGACTCCAAGGTTCCTCCCAGTTGTATTCACTTGAGAGACCGCCTGCTGCCAATTACCTCCACCAGACCGATTAGATCTCACAGACTAGGCCTCCTCCGAATTCCATC